TAAGCCGGTCGGCGTGGTAGCCAAGGCTCACATAGTCATAGGCCACTAGCGTTAAGCCGGTTGGCGTGGTAGCCAAGGCTCACATAGTCATAGGCCACTAGCGTTAAGCCGGTCGGCGTGGTAGACAAGGCTCACATAGATAGTAATACATGCGGTTCACATGGCTCTTCGGAGCAGCAGCAGTACATATGTCTTGGCGATAGAGCTGCTTGTTGGGGGGTGTTTTGTTCTTGTTTTGGCTTGTATTGTTCCTTCTATGTCTCCTGCTTTGTGGGGGTTATTTCATTTGTTATATTTACAGCAGCAATATTTCTTACATGCTCACAGCAGCATGTTGTGGATGTATTGGCAGGAGCAAGTCTCGGGACTTGCTCTGCAGCAGCGTAGCAGATCTATACCGCCAAGACCAAATACATTAAAGGGATCTACATGCAATTTGACAAGCTGTTTGAACTGAAATGTGTGTTGGCAGTGTGTGTACGCAACCACCCTATAATGATAAAAATCCACCCAGTGTTAACCCACCTTAGCTCCGCCCTGAGTGAGCTGTCATCAGTCCTCTATTGTTTCACCGCTGGAGCAGTTGTAGACAAGAATGATTCCTAAGCGATTGAGGTGTTCTGTTGTTGGATGTAATATTGAACATAGCAGTCGTCATTTACTCCTGACATCTGAGCCGCTGAACTCGCAGTGGATTACATTTTTTTCTGAAGGGAATGCTCCCCCGATCTACCTAAATGTGTTTGTTCGCGCAAATCATTCATGATCCAGCTTCACCCACAGAAGAAGTGAGTATAATGTTTTGTAATGAATCTTTGCAAATCGCCTTTCCTAATAATGCACTAATTAGCAAGTTTCAAGATGAATGCGCTAAAGTAAACAGTCTCTCTGAGAGCAGTTCGGAAGAGAGAGGTGGGGTCAGCAGAGCTCATTAACATTTAAAGAAAAATGCTACAAAAACGGCTTGATCTGAAAAGAGCTGTCTTTGACAGGGTAAAAAAGGTGTTTTTTACACTACAATTGAGAAATTTTAACCAAACTATGATACAGACTTTTCATTAAGACCCTAAAGAATCATATCAACTTGTGGAAAATGGGCATCCTATGACCCCTTTAACATTGTCATGTACATTACCATGCCAATCCCTCCTAGAGCTGTCATGACAGAACTATATTTCTGTACTTGTGATCACAGGTGACAATTGCATCAGAGGGGGAACAGTTTTCGGTTCCTCCTTATACTGCAGGGACAACTCTGCATTCTTATGCCAAAGACTTGCAGCAGTGTGTTGCCTCCTGTCCCCAGCTAAATAAGAAAATTGAGAACCTGAAGAAAGAACACAAGCTCTTACCTGTGAAAAATAAGTTTAGGTGTTGAAGTAATTCATTTAAATCAATGTTTTTTCCCCCTCTGTTTAATTTTTGACATTTGTTTTTCTTTTTACAGTTTGTACAGCATTGGTGTTATTTCAAAATTGATACTGTTTATTGTTCTGTTTACAAAATAAATTTGTTTAATTAGCTTTTTTTGCTTCAATTGTGCTACTGTGCTTTTACAAGTACTAATTTAGAACTTTGTGAAACAGAGCTAATGCTAAAGCTAGGTTTATCTGTTCCAGCATGCTAGTTTAATGTTGTATTTACCCTGTAACTACAT